CGAAATTCTTCGAAGGTCACAAAATAAGAAGGATATTATCAACACCGTATCACCCCAGTGGGAGCGGATAGGCCGAATCAACGAACAAAACTATCATTCAACACCTAAAGAAGAGACTGAACGACGCTAAAGGAAAGTGGAGAGAAATCCTACCCGAAGTCCTTTGGGCATATCGAACGACGTCAAAATCCAGTACGGGGGTAACCCCGTTATCCTTAGTATATGGGTTCGAGGCATTGATACCAGTCGAAGTCGGCGAACCCAGTACTAGATTTCAATACACGACAGAAGAATCAAATAACGAGGCTATGAATACTAGCCTCGAATTATCAGACGAAAAACGAGAAGCTGCTCTCGTCCAATTGGCCGCCCAAAAGCAACTAATCAAAAGATACTATAATCGAAGAACCAAGCTTCGCCATTTTAAGCCCGGGGACTTAGTGCTAAGGAAAGTCACCCTCAATTCCCGAAATCCGAACGAAGGAAAACTGGGAAGGACCATATCAGGTTCTCGAGAACGTCGGAAATAGATCATACAAGCTCGACATTATAAACGGCAAATAATTATCAAGCAATTGGAATGTGTCACATCTAAAACGATACTACTGCTAAGATACAACCCTCCCATATTCATTTATATTTCAAAACTGACCCTTGCAGAAGTCCGATCTGGAGCTAGGATGGATCCTTCAATACGAAGCTTTAAGATCTGAAAGCACGAGTTGCACTCTTTTTCTCTTAGATCGATTTTTATCTCAAATAGGTTTTTCGGCAAGGTTTTTAATGAGGCAACCAATGATCGTGCTGCACTTACAACAATATTCGAGGCCTTTTTACAATCGACCTTGAATACTGGGGGGGCATTAGCCCTCAAATATATCAAGTTCTGATGCAAGAAAGTTATTTCGCAACAACGGGTTTCCAATAGAAAAAGTTGTAAGAGCCAAATGGTCAAAACGAACCATGCTCATGTAGTTGGACCGAACCCAGACACGAAACATGAACACATGTATAGTGACTTGCAAAGAAAGTTCTCCTCTTTACCAACATCTTATATCCAAGAAACATTCCTTTATTTGGAGATTTATTATGCAAACAGAATTAAGATAAACTCGACCACTAAGCCTATGGGCTACTTTTATTTCGAGTTCGAGCAAGCACTCACTCGACCATTACGCCTACGGGCTACATTACTTCGAGTTCAAATCACTCACTCGACCATTAAGCCTATGGGCTACTTTTATTTTGAGTTCGAGCAAGCACTCACTCGACCATTAAGCCTACGGGCTACTTTTATTTCGAGTTCGAGCAAGCACTCACTCGACCATTAAGCCTACGGGCTACTTTTATTTCGAGTTCGAGCAAGCACTCACTCGACTATTGCTCCTACGAGCTACATTACTTCGAGTTCGAATCATTCACTCGACTGCTAAGCCTACGGGCTACTTTCATTTCGAGTTCGAGCAAGCACTCACTCGACCATTACGCCTATGGGCTACATTACTTCGAGTTCGAATCACTCACTCGACCATTAAGCCTACATGCTACTTTTATTTCGAGTTCGAGCAAACACTCACTCGAGCATTGCGCCTACGGGCTACATTACTTCGAGTTCGAATCACTCACTCGACCATTAAGCCTACGGCCTACTTTTATTTTGAGTTCGAGCAAGCACTCACTCGACCATTGCGCCTACGGGCTACATTACTTCGAGTTCGAATCATTCACTCGACTACTAAGCCTACGGGCTATTTTTATTTCAAGTTCGAGCAAATAACTCACTCGACCATTATGCTTACGGGCTACATTACTTCGAGTTCGAATCATTCACTCGACTACTAAGCCTACGGGCTATTTTTATTTCAAGTTCGAGCAAATAACTCACTCGACCATTATGCTTACGGGCTACATTACTTCGAGTTCGAATCATTCACTCGACTACTAAGCCTACGGGCTATTTTTATTTCAAGTTCGAGCAAATAACTCACTCGACCATTATGCTTACGGGCTACATTACTTCGAGTTCGAATCATTCACTCGACTACTAAGCCTACGGGCTATTTTTATTTCAAGTTCGAGCAAATAACTCACTCGACCATTATGCTTACGGGCTACATTACTTCGAGTTCGAATCATTCACTCGACTACTAAGCCTACATGCTACTTTTATTTTCGAGTTCGAGCAAACACTCACTCGACCATTAAGCCTACGGGCTACTTTTATTTCGAGTTCGAATCATTCACACGATTACTAAGACTACATGCTACTTTTATTTCGAGTTCGAGCAAGCACTCACTCGACTATTACGCCTACGGACTACATTACTTCGAGTTCGAATCATTCACTCGACTACTAAGCCTGCGTGCTACTTTTATTTTGAGTTTAAGCAAGCACTCACTCAACCATTATGCCTACGGGCTATATTTCTTCGAGCTCGAATCATTGACTCAACTAATAAGCCTAAGGGCTACATCACTTCAAGTTTGAGTAAGCGCTCGCTCGATTCTACGAAGTCCAAATTTGATTAAGTTGTTTAAATCCTTGTGAAAACATTCATAAGGCGTGAATAAAGTCTTCACAAAACAAAAGCAAGTCGGCAAAAATGTCTATATACAAAATTGTCTACATGATTGATTACAATGTAAAAATTAAGGGCTAAGCTTCCTGGTCATCCTCAAGAGCGGTCCCTTCTCTATCAGGCTACCCCCCGTTCTCGGATCCACTCTTACTCCCATTGCCATCATCATTGTCATCATCATCGTTATCAGAAACCAGGGCTTCAACATCGGCTTCGAGTTCTTTGGCCCTTTTTATCTCTTCAGCGAGATCGAAATCACGAGCATGGATCTCCTCGAGGGTTTCCCTCCGAGATCGGCACTTAGCAAGTTCAGCGACCCAATGTGCTCGAGTATCGGCGGTCTCGGCTGCCTCTCTTGCTTGGACCTGGGCAGCTTCAGCATCGGCCTGATAGATGGCCACGAGTGCATCCGCATCGGCCTTTGCCTTTTCGGCATCGAATTCGGCCTTGGCAAGTACAAAGGCCAACCGAGCCTCGAGCTCCTCTATTCTTCTTGCTTGAACCATGCCTTTTTTCTTCATTCTCTGAAGTTGGGTTTCGGCCGATGATAACTGGGCTCGAGCAGTTTCTTTCTCTGCAGCAAAGCGGTCCATACCTTCTTTCCACTGCAAAGACTCCGCTTTTATCACGTCGACCTCCTCACGAAGCTTCCCGATCATCTCAATTTTTTGCTGCAACTGTGAGACCGAAAAATTAGCCATCATTCCGGTATCAAGCCCATAGGATTTTAAAAGTATCATTAACTGCTCAGACAAATCGGTATGATCTCGATAAGCCTTGGCCAACTCAACTTGGAGGTCTTTTATTTCCTCTTCCCTCTGCCCTAAGAGAAGTTTTAGGGAGTTCCTCTCATCAGTAACCCGTTGAAGGTCGGCCTCGTATCGACGCAACTCATTTTAGGACCGAGAACATGCTTCTCGATGAACTGCCGCTACCTACAAAGAAACAAGAAACGAAGTTAACAAAAAGTAAACATAAAGGTAGTACCGAAAAAATAATTTTAAGGCTTACCTGATTCAAAGCCTGCCTCACCCCGTGAAAAAGATCTGATTCACTAGTACCAGCGACATCCTCGATACCGGTAAACAGGTCACGAAAGGATCCTCTCCATCGTGAGGCCTGTCTAGATCGAGGGCCCCCAAAGCTTGGGCTTCCGGAATCACCCTTGCAGAAAAAACGAGAAAGGTGGGCGAATCTTCGATTGTTGCTGCCCCAAATGAATCACTTGGAGCGTTCTCTTCGGTTCGAAGGGATTCAAGAGCCCCTTCAAACATATCCCCCATCTGTTGGCTCCGATGAGATGCGTCTTTGATCTTCGATAATTTAGGGATTCCACTTGAATCATTCCCCGGTATATCCTCAGTTCGAGGCGGAGCCTCATGAAGCATCATCGATCCAGCTGCCGATGGGGCATCGGTGGTTCTCTTCGTTCGGGCCGCCAGCGCGGACCCATCATTTTCTTTTTCTTCTTCTTCTTCATCTTCGTACCTTAGACGCATAACTGATTCCACGGTCAAAGGAATGACATTCTTGTTCGGCTTACGAGCCGTCCTCTTCTTCGGTTTTGGATCGTCGGGAACATAGGCTCTTTTCCTTTTATTTCCCTTCACCGGCTTTGGGAAAGAGGCCAAAGTTTCTTCCTCGTTGGACAAGGGCCTCAAAATCTCATCTTTGCCCAAACCTAAAATTTTATTAAAATATTTGGAAATCATCTCGTTCGAATTATCAAAGAGTATGAGAAAGGGGCTTACCATGATTTTTGGCCTCCCACCAACCCTTTGACAAATCACGCCATGAGCGCTCGGCATATGTGGAGGTCGCAACAAGAGCTCGTACCCAGTTCTTGAGATCGAGAACTGCTCCGGGCATCCAGGGAACCGCTACATCACAAAAAGAAGAGTGTCGATGAGAAAAGAAATGAAAGAACAGAATAGAAGTAATAGTAGGAACACACTTACGTTTCATATTCCACTCCTCGGGAAATGGCATCTTTTCGGTCGGAATCAGGTCCGAAGTCCTCACTCAAACGAACCTGCCCATCCAGCCCCCGATCCATGTCCTCGTCAATGCTCGAGAACAGAGCCTTGGTAGCCCGACGCTGAAATTTTATTAACCCTCCTCAAAAAAGTTGAGGCCGGTACAATCGGATAAGATGGTCGAGGGTGAACGTCAAGCTTCGAACCCGAGGGGCCGATCAATGTCGAGTTCGATATTGTTATCGAGCTCGAATCCAAATCGAACTATGATGCAGAGTAAAGCTATCAGGCTCATGATCTAGAGACCAACCAATATTGACCCCGAATCAATTCAAGGGGCCGAGTCAAAATCGAGCTTAAGCCAAAGATTGAGAGCTCGAGTTAGAATCAGGCTCAAGCCGAGATCAAGAGCCCGATTCAGATCGGACTCACAGACCAAAGCCGTTGCAATCCCACTAAGATTAGAGAATCATGGCAGGAATTGTGGAAAAGCTGATTTATCATGAATCTCCCACTGAGTATTTTTTTAATTATATTTAAAGTAAGATCCCTCTACTATAAAGAGGAGGTTTTATCATTTCTGGAAGGGCAGTTTTTTAGAGCTCACATTGTAATTCAAGCACCATATTCTCTTATACTCGAGAGTTTATTCTTTTAAGCCTCATAAACTGATTCATCTTGCTTAGTCCCAAAAAATCGCTTTCGTTACAACTGTATTTATTTTGTCTTCTCTACGGTCCATATTTGATATTTTCTTTTATTCTTACAATTTGTATTGAACTATATTACATATCCTTAGAACTACGAATAAATTCAACTCTATCCGTTTTTCGGGTAAACAGCATTCACAACTCAGCACCTTATGATTCATCACTATAAATGAGAAGGTAAGTAATATTATACTATTATACTCCATGGATGACTGGAATAAGAGGATGTGATGAATAGACAAATAAGAAAAATGTATGGTGTAGAGGTAAAGTGTCCTTGCAAGAAACAAAAGTTTGCTCTCAATGGTAGTGATTGCAATTCCGATATATGAAGTGCATGTTGTAGAATATACTCACTTTTTAAAAAGATGCCTGAAAATTAGGAATTAAAGGTCATGTTCTTAGGGACAGAGTAACAACTTACAAACAACATTTTTTATTGCTTAACAGGATTTATAAATATCTAGTTAAAATGCCAAATAATTTTATTGAGTATGAACGGATACCCATCTAAGATTTAAAAATATAACTAGAAACCTTAAATCTGCTTTGGAAATACCTCCGATGAAGGAGAGCGAACTAGAGGCCACCACAGGAACACGGGAGTGGGGTGAACTATTTGAGTTGTTAGTACTCAAGTACACTAGATTGACCTTGAGGCTGAAGACATGAACAGTGCCTTTGTCGCTGGAGACGGCTAGCCACTGAGCAGTTGGAGAGAATGAAACACTATATATTTCTGCTCTATCCAAGCCTCTCCTTGCCTGAATCATGTGTAATTTAGCACAAGACAAGCATGTAAAATGCAGTTAGTTGGTCGAAAAGAAAGTAAAAAGACGCAATTAGTTGGAAATTAGAATAAATCTAGGCAGGCCAAGAAGAAATAGAAAGCCATCAAAACAGTTCAACCGTACACTCTTTATCAAAATGTCCAGCACCATACTACGGATTACAAAATGTAGAAATTGCTCTTGTAATTATGGGAGAAAAACTCATTCAAGATAGAAAAACAAGAACTAACAAACCATGTCTATCAAATTAGTTTTTGTTTCAAGGGGTTATAAAGGTGAGAAACTAAATGGTAGGTTGAAAATATCACAATGCTGCAAACCGAAGGTAAAAATTAATGAGGAAATTATGGAGCACGTGAAACAAGGTCCAGTGAGTTGGTGAACAACTGTACAACGTGATATGGATGATTAGCCAATCAGCAGTGGCGTACACAGATAATTTATAAGTGGTGTGACATTTTTTTATAATTAAAAAAAAATGGTGAACAAATAAATAAATTACTATAATAACATCATATTAAAACACACACAATTTAAAATAGAACTACAACTCTCAATAACGAGTTTTTATTTTTAAAATATATTCATAATAACCTCATTAAAAATAAAGATTTTTACATGGTTGCTCTCTTTTTAAACATTATTCTCATAAATGATAGCAATCTTTATTTATTCAAAAAATGGCACATTTTTTTTACTTTTTTAGCACTTTCACTTTGGTAAGTACATTAACTAAGGGATTTTCTCCTACATCAATATACTTCTACTACATTTTATTTTCCCTCTCTCTTCCATAATTTTTTTTTTCTGTTCCATAAATAATACTTACCCAAATATATCAAAGATTCTGAAAGAAGAATATCTCAAAAATAGGTCCCTCTTTAATGAGGTTGCACAATGGGAATTTTAGTATTTTATTTTCTTTAAGTTTTAAACTTTTTTATTGTATAATTTTATTTTTACTCAAAATATACCTTTAATATATTTTAAGTATGCTATATGTGTGATAACTTATAATGTAAATATTCCATCAATATGCCATATATATTTTTTTTGTTCCATAAATAATACTTATCCAAATATATCAAAGATTCTGAAAGAAGAATATCTCAAAAATAAGTCCCTCTTTAATGAAGTTGCACAATGGGAATTTTAGTATTTTATTTTATTTAAGTTTTAAACTTTTTTATTGTATAATTTTATTTTTACTCAAAATATATCTTTAATATATTTTAATAAATTTCAAGTATACTATATGTGTGATAATTTATAATGTAAGTACTCCATCAATATGCCATATATATATATATATATATATACATACATACATAATACATGTAAACAAACAAAATATACCGTACATAATCTTTAAAGTTGTGTATTTTATACTTTATATATACCACTATTAAATAATTTATCACATATACCATTGTAATAGAAAATATATAAGAACCACCGGTCGAAGTTATAACATGTTAAAATAATATGTTATTATCCAAATTTAAACTCCAAAGAAGGAAACGAAAAGAAGAATTTTGCATATACAAAAAGAAAATAAGAAGAAAGGCATTAGAAAAGGGAAGACAAAAAAGAATGGAAGGATTGCATCAGTTATAGAAGATAAAAAATCTGAGCGAAAAAATAGGAACAATTGCTATAGTTTTGTAATTGTTATAAAATAAAAGTAATTTAGTAAAACATGAACAAGACATGTTGTTATGAAATAAAAGCA